GTTGTCTAAGGCATTTGCGCTGCACTGACACTGACATTGACATAACGTTTGTCAATGTCATGTCTGAAATAGTAAACAGAAACAGACCACGAGTTTCTAAACCTATTGGATTTGCATTTTATTTAATTAAAAAATGGTTGTAGCAATAGGATTTGAAGGCAGTGCTAATAAAATAGGTATTGGTATCGTTAAAGATGGAGAAGTGCTGTCTAATTGCAGAAGAACTTACATCACACCGGCTGGAGAAGGTTAGTTTCTTATTCTCAATATTGTTATTGTTTTTATTGATAAATTTCGTACTTACAACGTCGTACAATTTACGTTGTTCATTACATTGGACTCCAATATAGCTGTTTAGCTCCAATAAACTATTTTAGTGTATAATTTGCTGAAATCCATCCTTTTTAACATCTCTTTTTTATGAATTGAAAAGATTTTCAAGGATAATAGAATTCTTATTTGACAATGTGATTATAATCTTGGAGCTGATGAAAGATTTAAGCCTAAGGGGTCACAAAAACAATTTTAATATTTTAACAAAGAAGTGAAATAAAATTGTGATTTACAGGTTTTCTACCCAGAGAAACGGCAGAGCATCATAGACAAAAGATCCATGAAGTGCTAAAGGAGGCTTTGGAACAGTCTGGTATAACGCCTGACAAGATAGATGTAGTCTGTTACACTAAAGGTCCTGGCATGGGGGCTCCGTTGATGGTATGTGCTATTGTAGCCAGGACCTGCGCTAAATTGTGGAACAAACCAATTCTTGGAGTCAATCACTGCATTGGACGTATCCTTTTTTAAGTAATAATTTGCAAGTATGTTTTAGTTTTAAAATATCTATGAGTCTCTTTTCCTTGCTATATGGTTGATCTGATTGTTTTTCATATTTTTTTCTTTTAAGTTTTGTAGTTATGAAACTTTCCATACTTGAAAACACAACACAGTTTCATAAATACTAGAGAAAAAAGGATTAATAAAAAAATATTATTTACTTGCCCTGAAACCAAAGAGGAAACTAAACATATGCTCTAAGTGTTAATTTTCTGAACACCAACCAACAGACATAGAAATGGGTAGACTGATCACAAAAGCGAATAACCCTACAGTTCTGTATGTGAGCGGTGGCAACACACAGGTGATAGCTTACTCCAGGAACAGGTACCGGATATTTGGAGAAACCATTGACATTGCCATGGGGAACTGTCTTGACAGGTAATAACTGTATTATCTTATTTTATGTCACTAGTGCACCTCTCAGACTTTGTTTGGTTTGGATTTTTTTCTGTACATCTTTGTTATTTTTTCTTACATTTTTTTTTTTTTTTTTTTTTTTT